CTTCCACAATCACACGTCTGCGCTTTGTTTCCCGGCGGACCGAAAATAAACGCGACACTCGCGCGCCCCGGAAATCCGATAAAATTCAACCAATCAGATGACGACTTCGACATTCCTGAAGTGTTTCCAGTTAAGTGTACCATATGCATCAGACGTTTAGCCAACGTTCCGTGGGCTTGACGTCTGAGGCTGAGACTAGCATTCCATTGACTCCCATTCATTTTGGCGTCACTTTGACAGCAAATAACTTTACATCTGAGGCGTTTAAAGACTCCATTTGTCCATTGTTTATTTCTAAAGAAACACGACAATGTATAAAAGGCTCCATTACCTTGTCCTTGTATCTTACGTTATGGTCATGTAGAAGCAGTTTTTGTAAAATTAGGCTAACGATTGCGTCATAACAGGTCATAACCTATTTTTTTACAGTCTATGGTCATAACACACAACTCTCTGTCACACAGTACAGAAATTACCGTATAGACAGGAGTAGAAGCTCGCGCGCAATCGGGGGGACGTGGAGGCATAAAGTCAAGGGAGAAGCCCATAGAGAGTTGTAAAGTTCGTCATGCTGCTAGCTCATTGACAGCTAATACTCACGATCTCCGGCTCTGCAAGATTCGGAAGGGAATGATTCAGATTCCGTTTGGCCCAGCTCATTGCTCATTGTGAGCCTGCGCAGTGTCTCTGGCAGTGCGCTTGGCAATCAGGAAGTGAGTGCTTCTAATAGAGGGAATGCATTAACGTCACTTCCCCGCCGGAACACGCCCCCCTCAGCGGGACTGAGTGGCAGAAGAGCTGCTGCGTGACTGGAGTTAATAGGGGAAACTGCGTTAACGCGAGTAAAACAAACTATTATCAGTTTAAACTAAAAGTTGGACTCGATATAGTGTTCCTTACAACTTATCAAAGATCCAGTGATCCATGGATATTGACATGCAGCCAGGAATCGTGTTTCCTGACATTTATATGTGCCTGATTTCGACGCCGGGGAAATAAATGAAGACAATTTGCCTGTAAACGTTTTATATAAATACAATATAGATAGGTCTAAATCCGAGTGATCACTTACATTAATGTTATACTGTATATCATCATATCGTCCAGCCCTAAAACTTGTATAGTTTTTTGTCAGTGTTTATTTAAAAACATCCAATTATGCAGAATATAGTCTGTTCTGTAGCTTTTTGCAGTCTGTAAAAATATACAGTACCTCAGATTTCTGGTCAAATCTAGTTGTACAGTCAATCGCAAAGATCTTTCCCGTTTTAGATGTGTTTTGTGTGTTTTTCACGGCATTCACGCTGAAAACAAATGCTGCCTCTCAGTCTTTTTGCCACTAGTGGGCGTGACCGCATTCACTCCGGCCGACGGTGACGTCATGCGCATACCCTCTATTGACTTCACTTTTCTCCGTTGAAGTCTATGGGGTCGCTGTGTCCATTTCTTTTACTGTCTATGGATCTGCTAGAAGCTGCTCACAAACACTACGTCAGCGTATGAATCCGCGATTGCAGACACAGAAAGCATTCTTGAGCACTGGAACGCCACTCTACCGATTAATTATACAAATATTAAATTATTTTATAAGTTATAAGATAGTTAACGTACGGTCCCTGATTCTGATTGGTTAAGTGACCTAATTACATCACCGTGCACTACTCTGTGTTGCTGCGGTTCCATCATCATGTATTTGTAGACCTTGTTCAGAGCGCCATGACAGGTAACGTTATGATAACAAGGCTGTGTTAGGGACTTACCGGTTGTGTCAAGACAAGCACTGGACTGCAGCAGGTTAGTAGCCTGGTTAAAACCAGACCATTCTCAGTTGTGAGCAAATCTAAATTTGTCGGAAGTTGTCTGGGTTTTCCCAGGCTAGCAGGTTAGTTGAACTTGGGAAATAAATGTATTTATCTATGGCTCTGGTCATTGCCAATAGACTGTAAAAAAAAATTGCCTGATAGGGCAGCGAGGCAACAAGTCAGCTGCCTAAGTTTTCGGACTAACGTTAATTTTACTCTGACGAAAGTGAGTTGAACGCTTGAACGCACCTGCCGTCGTAAATACGAACTTCCCAGGAGGACTTGAACGTCACATACACCATACAGGACACCCCTACCAACCACTTAGCAAAGTAAATATATATTCTCATTGAAGCTTAGAGTATTGTGAGTAAGCGAGTGTAACGTTACCTGCATTTGCAGTAACGTTAGATATAACATTTTCCTTCAGGTCCTATATTCGTAATAAAAAATCCGTTTGAATGTCGGCGGTGCTGCAATATCTTGTCCTTTTAATAGTTAAGGGGTTTTCCCGTGCCCTGACACGCTAGTCATTTGTCAGTTGTATCTTGCTTCTCTGTGTTTGACAAGTTTTAGTCCTTCCAAGTTCCAATATAAGTTAAAAGTCTTGTCTACAGACTCACTCATAAAGACAGTCTTTGCCGCCATCTAATGGCGAAATAAAGTAACTTCTATTGCTGATCACGGTCAGGGACTATTTTTTCCAGCGGAGGGAGGCTTTTAGTGATTTTAGTACTTCATGAAAGTTGCATTGATACATATTTTTGGGCTTTAATATTTGTATTGTGTGTGGTAGCCATTTTATAAAAGTAATACGGTACTCGAGGCTAATGCTGTATTGTATCGTGAATAAGTCACGTACAGCACAGTCTCTCGTACCTTGCTTACATATAGGAAGTGTGATAGGCTTCATCCCGAAGGACTCTGCCGTTGATGAGTGACAGTAACGTTTTACTGGACTTTTTTGAAAGTTATATTAAACTGTCTGAATACAAAACAGGGTTCACAAACTGTCTAAACATGTTCACCATGATCCATTTCTTTATGTAGCCAGCCTATATATTTCTGTATATATCTATAGCCTAAGATATGTCAACTTTTGAACCGCTTTAAAGTTTTTATTTATTGTTACATATTATGTAGCCTGTCATTAGATTTTTGAGGAAGTTGAAACACAATTCTTGTGTTTGAAATTGTAATTCGGTAATTTCTCAAAAAAATTCTGTGATCACTGGCACGCAATGAATTCTGTAGTAGTGAAAGGCGCAAAGGATCCATCAGTTGTATTCTTCATTTCATGGGAAACAAAGGCCGCATTTGAAGGAGCCTTCGAATTGGGACAGCCTTCGTCACCCAGCGGTGATGCAATCGGCCTTCCCTCTGAATTGGGACACAGCAACTGTGTTTTCAATGGTATCGATATCCGCTATTAAAAAAACTGTATAAAGTTTGTAGATCATTTATAATTTTCCACAGTTCATTTTGTCTTGAGTTTTTTGTCTACTAAAATTTATTGGAAAGATATCTTTGCAGTGTTTCTTCAGCAGAACAATTCAAAAACAGATTAAATAACAGTGCGATCCACTGAAGAGATGTATGTCTACACCATAGATATATCTATGGTCTACACACAGCCTTGATTTCATTCCATAGACTGTAAAAAAAGAACGATGATGCACCTTAACTCTCTTCCATTGTAGAAAAGTGAAGCCACCAATGTCCCAATGACCCTGACATCTTGGAACCAGAGTCTGCGCAATAGTGAGCGTGAAGTGGAGCCGCAGTATCAAGGCCCCGTCCACACTTCCACAGAATTGGTAAGTACAGTTTACTGCAGAACAACTCATTATGTTGGTGTGAAATAAACAGTTCTGGAAATGTAGGAAATTAAAGTTAAAGCCCCATTCTCCTTCCGAAGGTCCCAAAAAAAGTCAGCTGGTGCCTCTGTGACTTTGCTCAGAGAAGCTGTCAATCTCAGCTGTCAACCATGTCGTCCCCGGTTTTTATAGTATCAAATAACTAACTAAAACCAAACTTATTTTAAATAAACGAACACTTGAAGTTACATCAGCGTGATAAAAAAACTACCTAAAATGACAGAAACCATCTTTGGCAAAAATGTATTTGTTAGGTTGTCTCGTGTCCCAGATTACATGGTGAGGGCGGGGCTGCGATTCAATTTTACAGGACTTTTGTGGCACACTTGTTACATTCCCTGGCCATTACTATTTATGAAGTATGAGTGACCCCTGCTGGCATTATTTTGCATCATTCACCTTTAATTTTCTGAAGTGCTGAGGGATTCTTTTTTTTAAGTTTTCTTTTTTAAGTATGGTATGTTCATCAAGTTACACTATCTCTTCTTATAGGTGAACACGTGCTATGCCTCAAACTGGTCCGGTATAAACTATAAGAAGAGTACTTTGCTGAGAGCTAAGTAGATGTATGTGCTTGAGGAAATATCATATAGGCCTGTTGTGTTAATACATAAATAAATAAATAAATAAAACAGGTCATGAGAACAGTTCCTTAAGCCGTGGTTTACAGTAAATTTAGAACAGGGGTTTTAGGCACTCTGCTCCACGTCCTGCCTAACAATGGCCATAACTGTTCTAAAATCACTGTAAACCACGGCTTCACGGGGCTTATTGCTTTTATATTATTTGAATAATAATATTTTTTAATTCAACACGTGTTAAATATCTTTTTAATTTGTACAATACATTCATACATTCTTTTATTTTCAATTGTAGAATCAAATATTATATATTTACAGCAGGGATTGGCAGTGTTATTTTATAAATATTTATTTGCACAATACTGTTGTACTGTAAAAATGTCAAATTATGTGATCCTGTTCGCACTTATGTGAACGTGATTTTACCAAGTGCAAATTTTCCTTGATCAACATCTTTGTTGATCCTGCAACAACATTCCAATCAACCAATCAGATTTAAGGGACAAGTCCACAGTTTGTCAAGTTTAGGTTAGGTGCTTCTACATCATTTACCTCTAATTTTAGGGATTAGGTATGGGTAGAATTGGGTTTAGGGGTGGTTATAGGGTTTGGACAAAATTTTCGGACAGGAATGTTGTTCCAGGATCAACAAAATATTAGCAAAATCACGGTGACTTCGCATTCATTACATACATAGCATGTGGAAGGGCGCTTCGGTGCATTTTTCCCAGTGCTCTTCTATCTGTCATTCCCAATGATGGGAGGCGGAGGCGGGGCTCCGAACGCTTTGAACACAGATGCGGAGCGGCTCTTCTGCTCTGAGCGCCAGTGAGACGAACAGCACCATGACTGCGAACGCATACGACGTGATTGTGATTGGCGGAGGCATCTCAGGTTAGTCTCATCAAAATAGCGCATACAACTTCATATAATCTCATTGCAATTAACGCACTCTTAAAGAAACTTTGCATGGATGAAAATTACAGGCTGGTGATCGTAATGCAGAGTTATGATCATCGTTATTGAGTAATATAAGGCGCGCGACTGACCCTTGCTGAACGATTATTCCATTTCCTAAGAAGCTTAGACGCCTTATAACACTGTATTATCGCTTCGTTTAAAAATAATAGAGCATATTTACGTTTTAAATAGGACTCTGTTAGTTTGTCGAAAGGAAGGTTTTAGTTCTGCAGACTTCACCTGAGCTTGCTCTTTCACTTCCGTGACATGATTATTTCATATTCATAACGCCAGAGGCATATAAGTGGCATGCAACAGTGTATCTGTGTAGTTGCTATATAACGTCAATTAACTTTTTTATACTAAACATCAAGATTTTAGTTTAAAATATACATATGTGTGTACGGGCAAGTGTAGCCTATATTCTTTTAAATCACGTTTACCTTCACTAGTTTGTAACATTATGCGCACACTGCATGTATAGGCTAATAACGATAGACACATGTAACTTTTTGTGTTTATAGTAATTTTAGATGAATTATGTCAAACTACATAACATTAGACACTCTGTTTTCAATGTCAACTACTACCCATCCTTATTACATGACTCTCTGGAATACTTGATTCTGATTGGTCAATCACTGCAGCGATGTTGTATAACTGTTCACTCATCTATGTGTGAGTATAATTTTAACTGAATATTTCAACTCAAATCAATATTTCATGTCCATGTATTTATTTGAAAAAGAACTTTCGAAATAATAGTCTTGTTAGATGCAACAGGCTCTCAAAATAGAGGCATTTTTACACTTGAAATTATTAAACTTAGAACATGGTTATTTTTATTCACACTGTGTATCAGTAGTTGACATGTCTTGTCATGACATTGCATCTCTCTCTCTCTCTCTCTCTCTTATTTTCTTATACGACCTCTGAAGCCTATCTCCATGACTCAATTTTTAAAACTACTTTACTTTGTATAATTATTATGCATGCAGCTTTTATTGCCTCATAAAAGATACCTTTATGTATGTATAATATATATGTATATGTATGTGTGTGTGTGTGTGTGTATATATATATATATATATATATATATAATCTTTAAAAAAATTATCACACTGCAAGACCTCATTCATAATTAAATAGAGAATGCAAAAAATGTGTTTAAACCGGTCATAAAAAAATGTGGTGAACTTAAAATATACACTTCCCCTTGAATATTAATATACATTTTAATCTAAACAGACTAAAATTCCTTAGAATAGGTCAACTATCCACATACACTGCAGTACTCGCATGCATATAGCGTAGTTTTAACCCTTATAAAATTGGAAGTGTGAAACATTGCTTTGAAGAATGTTTATACTGCTCAGAGTCAGGGTTAAATAAGATGTTAAATGCTGAGTGAAAAGGCTAAACCTGTCACACTTTGGTATCACAACCCAGTGAAAATAATAATATGCATTGGCTCTAGTGGAGATCTCAGTGTTTTTTGACCCACTCTTCCCTGGCAAGTTTATTTCACTGAGATTTATAAATATATTGCATTACGATAGGATGCAGAATTGATTAGAAAATGCTGCGTGATAAGATCTTTTTATTAGTCAGTCCTCCTAGCATGTGTAAAGTGACCAATTTTTATAGAGTAGTGTGAAAGCATAGCACAATGTCTTTACAGTTATAACCTAACAGGAAATTCCATTCCTGTCGAGTAAACGGACTTGTTCCCACAGTGAATAATACATTATAATATATATATAGACTTGACAATTTAAACCCAGCTCAGAGGGAGTGCACACTGGATGAAATATTGCTTGTGCAAGAACGACATTCTTAAAAACAGAACCGAGCAAAACAGGGTCAAGATGTCCTCGTGATAACCTGCTGGAAACATTATTTCTTGTCATACAGGCGGTTTTGTCAATTTATTTTTTATGATATGCAAGAGGACCACAGAATCAAGTCAAATGTTTTAGTCTATATTGTTAAATCTGAGGATATTAAGGTTTCTTTTTGCAAAGTTGCCCACAGTTTAATAACTCATGACCACCTTTTGCAGCATGGAAGTAAGCTATTTTCTGTGAATGTGCAAGACTTCTGATTTAGGTCTCTTTTTTTAACAAAACTAGAAGAATAACAAGTGCATATATGCCAGTTTGCAATATAACGCACTGTTTCTATACAGCTGAAATAACTGGAAGCCTCGCTCATTCAAGCTGAAAAAGGACAAACCCACTCTTACATAAAAAATAAGGTAGATAGTCTACTGATAACTGAAACTGCCTTACTTTGTTTTAAAAAAACAACAACAAAGGTGTGCAACTGGAGTGCCAGTCATGCTACTACTCTGCTTGAAGAAAACTAATGAATGTAATCAGTCACTATTTTGTAACAAGGCCACACTATGCACTATGGACCCAGTATCACCCAATCCATTGCTATAAAACCTTTTATCAGCAACAGAACTTTGATTCGCTGCCAAGTTTCTAGCAGTCCGTAATAAACAAACTGCACTTTTGAGTCTGTAAAACGTTTGTCATTCGTGCATGTGTGCAATGTTCCACATCATCAGTAGTTTGAGGCTAGTTACACATTCGACCTCTGGTCAAAGTTGCCGTGCAATTCCTGCAGTGGCATACGTTATGTTTTATGATATGCATGATCTGATTTGCGCAGTATTGCACTTTTTTCATTGCAGTTATATGAATCTGGACTGAGTGAATTTGACACATGGAGTAGAAAGACAAAAGATGTTCTTTCATAAATTGGTTGTCATCTTATAGTTGTTGAATATGCAGATGTTTTTCACCTGTTGGCCTTTGAAGGAGATCAGAGTTTCCTATTCTAACCAACCGTCAAAACGAGTTGCTTCAGGGACCTTTTAATAACGACCCAGCACTCCCTGTAAATCTAATTACTATGTGCAAAGCTACTGGAGATGCTTGGGGAGACAACACTTTGGCAGAACTGGTAAACAAAACTGACAACTCATTTTTTATGCTCCCCAGGATCCTAGAACATGGGACAGCAAATGTGTAATATTTGTGTCTGTTGTCAAGTGCCACAGGGGCTGTTCTTGACATAGAGGAGAGACAACTGACGTCTTTCAGCTAAACAATGGAAATGACACCTTTACTTTTATTGTTTCATGTCAACAACTGAAGTATATTGTCACTGTTGTAAATACAGTTTACATTTATTCCGTATTCATTCTTTTAAAGGTGAAGTGTGAGTGTGTCATTTCCTGTATCTGAAAGAGTAAAGCATGGCACAAGCAACGCCAATGTCATCGGTTCAATTCCCATGGAATGCATAAACTGATAAAATGTATAACTTAAATGCAATGTTTAAGTCGTTTCGGATAAAAGCATCTGCCAAATGCATAAATGTAAAATGTAATTTCAGCACCACTAGTGTCAAACAGATTTGGATTATAAACTATATTTATATCTAAAATATGGGTGGATCTTTCCTGTGCAAAAGTGGCTGTCATGATACTAGGATGTTTTAGATGGTTGCTAGGATGTTACCATTTGGTTGTTAAGGTGTTCTGGTTGCTAGGGTGTTGTTAGGTGGATAATTTCTTGCCCAAAACAAAAGAGCCCAAATCTATATTTCGTTTGGTCTCCAAAGGAGAGACTCAAGCCGTATCTAATGTAAGTTTATTAGATTTATCGGCCATTTTAAAATAAAAATCGCAATTAAAGCTCCTTAGAAAAGTTAGGGCGCACCTCTCTTCAACAAGTTGCACAGTTTGAAGTATCATTAAGTCCGTAGCACAAATTTCGAGGGACAAGTCACATTGCAAAGTTTGTTCACATTTTGGTGTTTGTATTCATTTTTTCCTCTCTCTGTCATTGGTCAGAAAAACAAAAGCCTTTTTTCCATCATCTGGCCAAACCGTTCTCATTGTTTAACCATTCCATTCTCGGCCAATCCGTCCCAGCCGGAACAGATATGGTTTAATTTTCCACTGTGGGGCTGATAACGGAGCTCTTTGGAATGTAATACAAATGTGTCAGTTGTTACCTTCATAACGCAAGAGTTTATAGATGGTATGAGATGTAAATAGCAACTGTTATGGAGGATGATCAGATATATCTATTATTAACTTGTTTACTTCACTCAAATAGCATGCTTGGACAGCTACGGAGAAACTGGTAACCATTGGTTGAGCCAGTTTTAATGTGTTGGAATGGTCGAAATGTTTAAATAAACAGTAATGCTGTGAGGGCACCACAGAGCACCTATGTTTACTCCTCAGAGAAATCAACCTGCAGATGACTTGCTGATAGTTAAATGTGCGTATTTTTACATAATTACTTCTGTGCTTACATGTACAAATAGCTGTCAGAAATAGTTTTACAATTGAACAGACTGAGACGTGTTTCAAACAACAAAAGCATTAGGGAGTTGTTTTGCTCAGAACTCTAGTAGGTCTCAGCAGCAGCTCTCATGGGGTGAGCAAGTGAAAGGCAGGAATTCCACATCTAATTGCAGAGGCTGTTGACACTGACGCTTCCTGGTGAGTGCCCTGCTCTTGCTAAAGAACTTCGGCATTCCTACTTTGGAAGTCAGCCAGAAAATACAGCAAACATGTAGATTCACAGGCCAGTTGTGTGCTGTGTCATCAGCATAGGCCACTTTTACAGTGTGTTTTGTACTTCTTGATTCATTACGTATACCTGTTCAAGTGTGTGTTTTTAATGATGGCTTTGCAAATATGTACACTACCATTCAAAAATTCATTAAATTGATCAAAACAATTGACAGGAAAGACATTTAAACTGTTACAAATGGTTTGTGTTTCAAATAAATGCTGTTCCTTTTAACTTTCTATTCATCAAAGAAGCCTGAAAAAGAATTCTTTTACAAAAATATTAAGTAGCACAACTGTTTTCAACTGATAATATAAGAAATGTTTATTGACC